AAAGCAATCGGACTTGTGGTTTTTAACAAGAAGTCGAAAATATCACTTTTTACCAAAAATGATAAAAATATTCACCAAAATTAGAGAATTAAAGATATCATTACAAAATGAACAAATCTGAGAGAGGTCCACATGTAGTACCTATATATGTAATATCAAAGCAATTGCACTTGCGGTTTTTAACAAGAAGTCGAAAATATCACTTTTTACCAAAAATGACAAAAATATTCACCAAAATTAAAGAATTGAAGATATCAACATGAAATGAACAAACCTAAGAGAGGTCTACCCAAGGTACATATACACCAAGTATCAAAGCATTCAGGCTTGTAGTTTTCAAGAAGAAGTCAAAAAAGTAAAACATTGACACGGACGACGACGGACAATCACTCATATGATAAGCTCCGCTCGACAAAGTCGACAGCGGAGCTAAAAACTTGCTGCCCTGCTAACAATTTACAAGCCCCTGTTTATGTTTTCAATATTTTATTTACTTTCACTATATTTCATTCAATCAGTATCACTGCAGTGACTTTCATTCAAGTAAGAAAAATCTTGATTCATAATCCAGTTCTGAAAAGGTCGGGCCGACTGGAACTCTAGGTACACGGGGCTAGTAAATTTTCACCAGCCCGACTGAGTAGTTACCCATGCAGGGTGTACGGGCGGGCAGTGATTTCAAACACTGACTTAGTGGATGAATAGACTCAACAGATCAACTAAGACTGTGGACAGCAGACACATAAGCTAAAAACTTTTAAAGTATCAAAGTCATCATCAATAACATCAACTTATTTTTTGTAGAAGTTATGTTCCTCACTGATAAAATAGTAAATTTTCAAAAGCCCGACTGAGTAGTTACCCATGCAGGGTGTACGGGCGGGCAGTGATTTCAAACACTGACTTAGTGGATGAATAGACTCAACAGATCAACTAAGACTGTGGACAGCAGACACATAAGCTAAAAACTTTTAAAGTATCAAAGTCATCATCAATAACATCAACTTATTTTTTGTAGAAGTTATGTTCCTCACTGATAAAAGACAAATTCAGTCTGATTACTTTGCTCAACTCACCGATAGATATATTGTGATTTTGAAAGCAAGTTAAACCAGCTGTTACACTCAGACATTATTGTATACATAAATATAGATATAAAAACTGATATGTTTCGACTAATCATCATATAATTTTATCCACAAACATAACTGTATTTTTATAACATCATACCTCATGTTTCCATAACGATACTTTCCCATATTTGCCCGTTCCGAGAACTTCAACAACTTTCCATTTACCCAAACCTTCTTCTTCAGTCGGTGAATTCTTGTTGCTATGGTTACCATTTACCGCATTGTTCATGGTTTACCCAAGATACTAGCTGGAATGACAAATATGTCACATGATCAATCACATGGTATAATTAGAATATTTTGATTGACTCCACACCATTCATGTAAATCTAGACAAAAGTCTAATCAATTGATTTTGATGACAAATATAAATTTGTTGTAAAACATTATTTTAAGATAAGAGATGGTGGTGGTTGTTTTGGTCTGAATCCCATACACAAAATTCGACGACTACCAACGTTAAAGTAACCCAATTGTCCAGAATAAAGATGCAGTATATACTCGAGTATCATCTTTAGCCAAATGTTCATGACTAATTTGCATATGAATGAAATGCCTCAATTAAATATGTGAATTTCATGCCTCATTTGCATAAAGAAAGGTCATAATTTGCTAACTTACCATTTCGCTATTTCTAGATTCTAAATTCATACTGCACTATTTTCATAAAGCCAGACTTTTTTTATTCCTTGTTTCACGGGTTTTTATAAGGCAAATTTTTTGAGGAGGGTGGAGAAAAAATTAAATTAATTCTTTTTTTCCATTAGATTTGTGTGATTCTCAAAGAATTGTAAGTGAGACCATTGATTGGAGAGAAGACATGAAATACAATTTTATTCCATATAACCTTGTTTCTCATCTGCGCGAGACTTCGGTACTTAGATCATGATACTCCCACGAAAATGCAACTTGGATTTGTTATGCGGCGGGCGGTAAAAAAATGAAGATAAAAATAATATTTTTTTAGCATTTTTTTGCGCTTACAAGTCGGCGAGCGCAAGAAATTACAGTGAAATAAAATTATATTTTTATTTCATTTTTTGGATTCTGTTCATTCGGCGGGTTCGCGAAACAAGGGATAATAAAAGTCTGGCCTAACCAACAAATAATGCCAACTAGGGGCTCATTATTTTGCACCAATATATGGAGTTATAAAATCAGATCACAAAATTATATAGAAAAAGGTCCCAATTCCAGTTGGCCTCGCAAACTATTTTTTTTTTTCAGAAGATCACTCCCCACTTAACAAATGCTTATTGCTACGAAAAAAAATTATTATTATTTTTTTTTAGAATTAAAAGCAGTGTTTTCACAATTTTATTTTGAAATCACGACTATGATTGCTATTCTTTAGTGAAAACTCAGACAATATAGACTGATTTATTCAGTTTGTAGGAATATGCAATACCACATGATTCCATATAATTTTTTTTTTCAATATTAAACACCATATGTTGATGAATTATAGTATTATAAAATGTAGGTTATTATTCCAAGACAAACAGAATGCACATCCATTTTTTTTTTTGCTCACAAATCAATAAATGTCTCAAATTTCAATATTTTATCAGAAATATTCAACATACTGAAATTATTTAGTAAAAATGGGAATTTATGAAACAATATCAAATTGTTGTCTACTTTGAAGGACTGTATTTATATATTGGGTTTTATTCTTGCTTGTTTTGGTGATTATTAGGTACCTCAATTGACTACAGACTGCACTGTTTCCTTCTCAAACTAGTGAAATCAAATGTAAAACCTAACAAATATACCTGCAACACCACATCTGCTAAGAAGTTAAAATCAGATGAAATAATTATTCTCCTTAATTTCTATTAAAATTAAATCCTAAAAAAATTCAAGCTTAATACAGGATTCAAATTTGTTTATAAAAACAAAAAAAGAAGCTGTCATGTACAAATTTATTGCTGCACACTAAGTGTAAGTTTCACATTCACCATGAAAAAGTATTATTTGGGAATTAACACTAAATTTTTTTTAAAGTAGTAATAGGGCTTAATTATTCACTCAGTTTTATTCACACTTATATTGCCAAAATTTAAATGCATCAAAGTCCCAGTGAATATTCACATTTATCAATGGAATGTATTGTTTCCTTTACAAATCAGTGAATTGAAAACCGATTAAATATATCCCTGCAACATCAAATCCATTAAAATTATTAAACACAGTGAATATTTAGCCCTTATTATATTACAAGTTATACCTAACATTAAATGTTAAAAGTTTAATAATTAAAGAGACCGGTAGCTGTCAACATAGTCCCTTACAAATTCAGTGGCGTATAAAATGTATTGTGATAGCTTCGATGGTTGCATTCACCCGAAAACAAAATATTTGGGAATTACTGACACTCAATTCAAGTATTTCAAAACAAACAGAGCATGCCCTTATCTCAGGTGAATAGTGCTATGCTAATGTAGCGTGGTTTGCTGTACGTAATAGCTGACTGATTGCACGCGAGTTGACGATCAGTACTATAATTACGACCACTTCCGGAAAGGATCTATTTCAAAATATGCTTAATATTCGTTTAATGAGACAGAGCCTGGAGGAATTAAAAACAAATTATTGCTTTCGGGAGCTTCTGGCTAATACGGATTTAAAATTCACTCGGAAAACACGAACATCGCAAGCTGTAGGCGCCGATCTGTCATTATCCAGTCTCGCAACACATTGAACAAAGCCAGTCATGGCAGTGACTCAAAATTACGCACTCTCTTGAACAACTCACCTATACTGTCACCGTTGACTACCAAAGATTCGGAATACCATGGAACTAAATACTGTAATCCTTGTACCTTCCTTTCTAACAAATAAAATGCATATTTTGGAAGTTTACGGCCCCAGGCTAGACCCAAACATCTCGAACACGGGCAACGTTGTTTTTAGCGTGGATTTACAATGAATGACCTCGACCTTTCACCAGAACAGCGCCCCCAGGCGTAGTAATAGTACAAAATGTACAAATAACGATGAAAATTAGGCCATGATGGAGTTGAAGAAACCAAATTATCTTTATATAAAAGTATTAATCACTGAAACATCGCAAATTTTATTAAAATTTTAAAATATGTTTATAAGATTATTGACATAAAATATCTTTAAATTCCAGCACGTGCTCGTATTTTAAAGTGTGTGTGAATTTGCCCACATACAACTATAGTCTGAGATTTGCCTATTTTGTTTTTTTCTTTGCGCGGGACGAATACTATTCTATGTGACACAAAAAGCAATTTACCTCATGCCTCATCGACATGTAACACTGCCTTTTTACTTCAGTTCTCTAGCCTCATCACATTGCGGTATAATAAAAGCATTCCTCCACGATCGTGGTCTACTTAGCATTATGGGATATATGCGTGTATGAGTACAAATAACGAGTGTTTCAGTAAGGACAACGCCGTGGTACTTAAAGTTACTAAACGTTCTAGAGCGTGGAGCAACCTTTTGAAAGTCTACTTTTTCAATTTTCATGATTATCCTACGTTTTTTGTTTTTTTTATCACAAATTGCACTGAAGACCTGTGGCCAATGAAATACATGTAATATGATCGAAACTTGAATAAAATTATACAGTTCACTACTGCGCAAAATATCCCACCGGAATTCACGATTGATACTCAGACTGTCACAAAACGGCATACCTCCCAGATCTAGAGAAGAAGAAAAAAACACAGAATCGATTACGGATAAATTCTTGTAACGAGGTTCATGCATGATCACCGGGCAACCCGAGTTGTTGAGAAAACAATGTTTCAGGACCACTCGGGTAGAACTTCAATCTTGGGTGGCCAAGCTTGATGTTAGGTTTTTAATTTCACCCCTGGAGCACATTTTGTTAACTAGAAATTAACATACAGTTGACCTTTTTCGAATACAAAGTTGAAGTTATACTTAAATGACTTATTTTAAAGATAACATAACACTGAGGTTTGCACTAGACAAAAAAAATGGCGAACTTGAGATACAGTAAGTTTAGTAGTCAAGTAATAACGTGTCTTGTCAAAATATACCCCTGATTACTCGTGTTTTGTGTTTCAAGGTTGTGCTCGGGCGTATCGTATTCCCTCTACTAGTCTCAGTCAAAACTGTGACCAAGTTGACAAATTAGTACTACTAGTACAAATACCGCCCTCGTCGACAATATAATATTTAGTGACTAGTTCTCGAGCGCGGGACATCAATGTGGTGCTGTGACTTGAAAACTTCTGTTGTTAAATGCATCTATTATATATATTGCATTATTTATATAATTGGAACGAATCAGTGTACAAGAAACAAGAAAGATGTGTACAATGAATGATAACCATACATGCACATATTTTTCAAAGATAACTCACATACGCAAACACTTCTATGTTAGACAGCCATATGTTCCTGCAAGCGAGTGCGCCCTCTATTTCAATAAATGACCATTTTTCCATTTTTCGGTTTTATAAATAAAAAGGCAGTGTTATCGTATTGGCGAAAGGAATATTCATATGTATGGACGAACAAATATAAATAAAAAAATGCATTTTGCTTAGATTAATTTCAATATTTATAAAAGACTTAAAGAACTACGTTATGTTTTTGTTATTACCTACTAGAAAATAATAAGAATATATTAATTTATCGTAATATGTTTATTGAAACAAAAGTTGTCATTCGTCCGACCTTCTGTGTGGATTTCAAGATAATGTATTGCACAGATGTAATAATATTGTTGCTATTATTAATTATAAAAACATGTTTTTTTAGGGGGGTAGGTAAAATTAAACGGGCATACAATTACTAGTAGCTTGCGGTGTAATATTGTTTAATAAAAAGAGAGACGAGAGTTAGTAAAACCACGGTCTTCTAATCTTGGTATAACGGTGAATCAGATGCCCTGCACACACGCCAAGAACCGGCATACCGAGAATGTGGTTCGATTCACTTAAAACAAGCTAAATAAACACATAATATATATGTAACCAGCGACATTCACCATGTATAAAGAAAAACTGTCGCGACTTTTTAGAAATCATTTTATTTAATTATAATATACGGTTGTTAGATGTACACACTTGCCGATTTGTGTCTGACAAGCACTTTTCGCGCCCTCTAGTGGTGAGATGTTTTCTGTGACGTCAGTATGATGAAAGGAGTAAGCAACGCCGCTCAAATAGACAAGAATGTTCAAAGGCATTATGTTTTATTCACGGTTGACTGCACATCAATACAACATCGACGCGTTGGACGGTCAGTATCCATTTACGTCACAAAAACTATTCGTCGCCAGAGGGCGTATGGAGGGAATGTGTTTTTATCGAAATTAACGTTGACCAGTTTTATTTTAAATCACGGCGTCTGTGTTTTGTTTACTAGTATGTTTAATGATATAATGACTAATTCTTATCTCGTTTCACTACGTCGAAACCAATTACGTTACATTAAATCATATTTCCTGTGAGGAATCCCTTGTTTTATTGCTCTAACATATTTAGTTAGCATGTTATTTCAGATAATTTAGCTAATCAGTTATTACGCTATTTCAAGATGTTGCTAATTTAGAATAAAGTATATTCCCAGAATGAGATTGTTGGCGTTTTAGTTAAATTAAGATTTGTTAAGATTAAGATTTGATTTGTAGCTATTACATGTACCGATGACGTCAATAATGACAACAAATACCATCTCTTGTTAGTCATAATCCATTAAATATGGATGTTAATTTTATAATTAATTTTATAATTAACTTACTACAGCCTAGCCGGGCATGTACGGCAGGCAAATCAGGGATTACTCAGTCGCTAGTGTCTTGTCTAAGTAATAGCGCCACCAACTTGGACATAAAGCTGGTACTCCTCCTATTTTTTGACTATTAAGTGAAACATTTCATCGCTCAAATGTCAGCGATTTTCAGCACGTTCGAATGTTGGTGATCATTTAAAGCGGGGGGACGTCACCTGCGCACGCGCGGGAATTGAGTCCCAAGCGATGAACGCAAAGGCTCATGGGTAGACACATGTTTGCAAACAATGACACGCTATGGCCACCGCACGCATGCGTAGGTGACGACTCCCCCGCTTTAAAATATCGTTCTGTGTACTAGTACACTGAATGTATGCTATTCAATGAATGTGTTAACTAAGTTGTTTACCAACATTGATGAAAATAAATTGCATGTAACATTATTCTTCGAAAACACGTGAAAAATCTAATGTTTTGTGCAGAAGAAAAAAAAACATCATTTAATATTGTATACATTATTACATATATAATTTATTTACATTGCGTATATACAGATACTGAGATAACAAAACTCGATGAGTGTAGTGCTGAGAAAATATGTGACGAACAAACACACATATCATCATCACCTGTGGGTCAAGCACCTTAATAACTGACCAGTACCGTACGCCGTTTACGTTCTAAGGGCTAGACCATTATTTTTGTCGGGGTGGTTTGGATAAATGTGAACAGATCAACTCGGTGTATTTTGAAATCAACTTCTAAAACAACTCTAATCACATCCAATATAATTATGGTCCACCACTATTTGACTAAACAATAATGGGTTTAAGCACCCGCCATCAGATCAAATAATCAGCAAAATCATGGATTTTTTTTCTAGTTTCGTCAAATTACCTAGCTTACCCGTTGCTATGCACTAACTGCTGGTTTTCATAGCAAGGCAGTATTCGGCCATTTTATAGACTTTTTTTGCGTTGGAATATCGCAGTGCATGATGGGACAAAGGATGAGTCTTATAAAATAACCGAACGGAAGTTTTAGGTTGTATCGAACGATAGTCACAAAATGATATGTTTATGTTTTAATGAACATGTTTATTTTGAATTATTACAAATTATGATTTTTTGGGGTTACCGGGTACATTTGGGCAAATTTCTGTAATGACCAGAACATCACAGTCTCCTCGACTAGACTTCACATTGAAAAAAACTCTGAAATATCAGTTTCCGCCATGTACGTTCCGTGATTTGTAGATTTCGGGGCAAAAAGATTGAATCCTGAAATTAATCATTATGTGTGGGGATACACTGGTGGGTTAAAAGACATGTATTAATTTCGTGTAAACAAACAACGGATTTTACATGCGTCATATTCGTCGCATGGGACCCATACCGAACGACACCGCGCACAGCTACTCTGGCCGGCGCATCAAGGTACTTATAATTTTTGAGAAAGTGGTTGTAAATCACATGAGTTCATTGGTTTTGTTATGTTAAATCATGGAACTAATGTCCCATGGCACCATGAAAGCATGAAATTATTTCATGTGTTTGTGACGTATTTTGAGAAGCTTGTCCTGATATTTGTCAAAAATTAAGGAATTCAATAAATCACAAAATTGCATTTTTTTAAAACCCGGATTTACAAAAATAATTCAGGAGAATAAGCTGTGTTCACTCCATGTCACCAGTCTACAATTAGACATATGAAATAATATTTCTGCCATAGGAACATATGGCAAACAAAATGGCCAATATCTACTAAAATACTATCATTTTCTCAAAAATTAGGCTAGTGACCCCCAACTTTTTAAAAGTCAATATATAGTCCCTTAAATTTTCGGTATGAACGAAAATATATATATATATTTAATATTATTGTTTGATATTCCATACTGTAGGTGAAATTATGATTTATCATATACTAGTACTAAACATTTTGGGTTTGCAGGACAAACAATATTATACGTTAGATGGAAAATTTAAATCATCGTGACTACTACGCATGTGCAGTGTTTTTATTGTACGTACCTAAACAACCAGTGCACATGCGTATTAGCGAATTTCATTGTTTCAGCATCAAACAGCAGTGCTAAAAAATACATGTTCTTATCAATATTAAACCTTTAAGACGAGGAGTCAAGGTCACGGTCCACGACCGCAAGGGACCCATAATGACGCGGAACTACCGCTCATTTAGAATATCCCGGAAACACACTGAAACGTACGCTCTGAGGTTCTGTCTTTAAAGAGCGTCCCAGGAAACTCATTGAGACATTAATGCAAACCATTTATTGTATGCTTGGGGGTAAAGGAAGGATAATTTACATAAAAACACGGAGTTAAAGATGATATTGGAATCCATTCTAGGCTGAGAACCTCTCCCCCCCCCCCAGGAAGCTCCGGAAGTGGGTCAACGCATAAAAAGTCAAAATAGTATTTCTGCAAACCTAGCAAACATTTGTATCGTTAGTGAACTTTGACACAAACACCAACCACGTGATATATGTTCGTGCTATAATTGAAAGTGTCAAATAACTGACCTCTGACCCCAAAACACGTAAATAACGTAATTAAGTTTCCATTTCCAATCATTGTGACGTGTAATCACGTGATTGATGATGTCACATATTGTTTTAGTATATAAATAAGATGTATCTGGATAATATAAGAAGATTTTGATATTCAGTTGCTATAGTTTCCATCGTATTTGTCTCTCATTTGAAAACATAAAAGTATGCATATGCCAACGATAAGTAAATAGTTTTCGGTACAACCGGGACAGATTACTAAAATATATTCAAAGTAAGATACACCGCTTTTTCAAGTTCGTGACTTGCTGAAACTGTTGACTTTTCTTCAACAGACGTTGTCATACTAAAATATCCCGCTTTTCTCGGAGAAACTTCGGACTATACTAGTCATCATGACAGTTTCCATTTAAACGTGTTTCATTGAAATGAAAATGTTGTAAATACGAACTAAGCAAATTAATAACAGTTGCCCAGGCTCGTCCCAGTAACACAGAACTGCGGCGTTGACGAGGGAATGAGTTGAAACCAGACACACTACGAGTCAAATTGTAGTTGAGATATTGGTCATTGATGACGTCGTCTTGTAAACTGGCTGGTGGTTGTTATGGTGATTGAACATTACAACTCGTTTGGAGGGTCGAAGCTGCCAGACCGGGTCCGACTTAATTTCAGTATTTGGGAATGATTGTTCCGAATGCCTCCTAGTAAAAGAGTTCTGTCTAATTTTAGGAATACCGTAATTGTCCGATTTGTGTCTGAAGTAAAAGTCCATTCTGAAAGTACCTGTCTTGGTTTTTGTAAAAAGTCTTTGCACTGGGATGTCGCTATCGGAGAGACTTCTCTGTCGTCTAACATGACTATGTCTGCTTTCTTCCTCAACTGTCTTCACTAATTCTACAACACACACATTCGAATCAGCGTTTAATTCGGTCATTTTATAATTAACATTATCCTTATTCTCATTATATTGTTGTAATAAAATCTCAATTGATTTTCCGGCATTCGCGAGATGTCGTGTTGCATCGTCTTGGTCCTTCTCGTCAATAGCCTCGTGCAAGTCCTCGATTCTTGAACTCGCTTGTGTTTCGCTGGACGTTTTTCGCGAGCTACTAGTACTTTCTTCAGTCGAGGTTTCACTTCCGGTAATGCCTCCATTGGGATATTCTCTTTCCGACGAAGGCAACATATATATTTCTTTTGGTGTGTTATCGTCACAATTTTGAAACCGCGAGCTAACTTCTTCGAGCGACGGAGGCTCAGGCGAAGTGTGTCCCATCTTTCGCCGACGCCGTGACTTCGCACCCGTAGATTTCTTTGCGACAACAGGACTCGAAGTAGGTGAATACGATTTTAGAATACCGACTTTTCGCCGGAAGAATGATGAATTCTCTTTTTTTGATTTTCTGGAAATTCTGGGGCTGCCATCTTCACTTCCAGACTCGTGAATAACAAGGGTCCTATCCGCAAACCCGACTCTCGGTGTAGTCGGCTGCGATTGGTGTACACTTTCGTCTGTACTTTCGTTGTGGATATCCGCTTCCACCCTGAAAGACGATAGCGACGAACTGTCCCGCTTGGAAGACGGTGCAGACGTACTACCGCGTTTAGAACTCGATGCCGTGTTTCCATCTTCACTGATTTGTCTTAGATTATTTGTCCCCTTTTTGTTGCCATTCACTTTCGGCATCTCGTCTCCATTACTACCCTTTCTACTAAACATATCCGAAAATATGGCTGGTACACTGGGGCGACGTTCTCGTTTTTGGGTTCGCTGGAGTAATTGGAGGCACGGCCTCTTCTTCCGTGATACTGGATGACCGACTATGCCCGAATGGGAGCCTCTCTCTGAATCCAGATTTCTGTTTCTTCTTCAGGGACGGAGATGGTTTCGGCAAGTATTCTTGTTTTCTCAGTAATGGTCTGTTGTCGTATTCGTCGACGGACCTTACGGGAGTGGATTGCCTTGTCAATACGGGTTTGATAACAACCGGTTTCAGTTTAGAAAATCGCCTCTTCAAATCATCTAGAAAAAAATATTAAATTATAACAACAAGCTAAGTGATTGGGTCTCCGTAGTCACGTGGTACGATTATGAACGTTCTCTCTCAGCAATACGTTTGCGTCTAGTTTCTTTGACTAGTGAAAGTGAGCCGAATTTCAGATAATTGTGTGCTAGAAGTCGAGTCCAAGCGAAAACAGTGGTTCGCCCTCGTATAGTCATTTCAGGAATCCATTAAAGAGTAAGGGTCGTCACCTGCGCACGCACGGGAATTGAGTCCCAAGCGACGATAACAATACACGCTAAAAACACAAAGGCTCATGGGTAGACGCTTGTTTGTAAACAATGACACGCTATGGCCATCTGACGCATGCGCAGGTGACGACTCTCCCGCTTTAAAGATGCATTATGGAACGAGGAAAGTAATTTTTAGTATTGTCGTTTGGCGCTGTATTTTTTACTCGTTGTTTTGGTATGTACAATAACAAGCACAGCACATGCATATTAGTGGTTTAAATTCTTCATTCAACGAAAAGTCGTGCATTCCACAAATGTATATATATATATATGATTATACTGCATCTTTAATCACTACGCGGTTTGGACATATTTTTTTTAATGTTGACTTGCCGCTCACATCTGTTGAAAACGTTTTTTTTCAGTTTGAACATAATTTCACAGTACTTACCAACTAAAATCCTTTGATTGACTTTTTCATGACACAGAGCACCAAATAAAGTGCCTATATCCGCGCCATCCTTTTTGGCCCACACATGTAGTCCTTGAAATATGCATTCTTCTAAACTTGTATTGATGTAATGGAACTTCAATTCCATAATTTCCTTTTCTTCGAATCCCAAGGCACGGAAAATTTCTTTCCACCCTTTGTAAGTACCTAGCCTTCGCCGCAGAAAAACAAAGACGGCGTCCCGTGTGTTGCTGTCGACATCGACAACTGGCTCCTGTCGGCGAAAAGAAAGAGAATGAGCTGGCTTCATGGTCTGTCTCAGTACATAACTGTCACTAGGCATTGTGTATGATGTGGTAACGGCACTTCAATGTTATTAGCAGTACCGGGTCGGAATCGGAGTAAAATAAGTATGGAGTTAGAGATAATGGATTATATGTACGGGGAAGTGAAGAACCACTACAGCAATGTTTTGCTCGGTTCCCCTTTAGTTTTTATACAACAACACAGAACTGGTTAATATTAGTGTAGCAACATGATGACTAAATGCGAACGTACTGTGGATATATTAGTTCTTGTAATAAATGCTTGTATACAACACGGATCGGATCAAGCACATCCCTAGCAACCGCCATCCTAGAGTATCTCAGAAGATAACGTGGCTGTGTGACGAATCCCGCACGCGGTTCAATAAACCTATCTACACTTACGACTGAGGTCGATGAACGAACTTTCTTGAAGATACATTAATAATTGAAGTTGTTGGAGAATTATAAAGAAATATTGGCACCCATGGAAACGCCGTCGAGCGGCCATATTTGTGAGCAAAGTGACTCGATTGTATGTATGTAATTATTGGCAACGTACCGTTCAACTTTACCCCGTACAACTATTAAATGTACACTTATTAGATTTTGAATTGAATGGAGGATAGAACAGGAAAAACAAGCAAAATAATGAGTCAAGAGATAGTTGGAGTAGCTGGTGTAGATGTTGGATTTGTGCCCCACAATGACACGACTAGAAAACTGATATACGCTTCAAAAACATGAAGACTACTCATGTTTCCTAGACAACAGTTTCCTACCCACTGCTGTGTTCAACTTTCAAATCCGAGAAATCAAAATAACAAATACAGTGTAATGTGGAAATATCATTTTCATGATACCATTTTCAAATTAAAAATGGAAAAATATAGGTTTATGATTAAAATGAACATAAATGACAAACCTACGCAAACATCGCGCACAAAAATAGAGATTAGTTTTGGGGCCGAGTCGTGACATATACAATCCATGTCACTGAACGGAATATGAAGACGATGCGTTCACCATTGAAAATAATGGAAAACGAAGACATAAAATGCAGTTTCCATGACATTTAAAACTCCAGTTTCCCGGTTGTCTGAGTCACCATTTAGACATAGTAACGCTGTGCGTGGCGTTGGATTGTAAGTATATCTATATTGCGCGCGCCGTGAAAGTGGGCACGAAGGGGACGTATCTGAGGCGACTAGGCCGTAACTACTGCACAGTTACAGTGACGTGACTAATTTCCTGCATCATAAACGTATGTTTGCTGTATGATCTTTGAATAAATAAATATATGACTCAAATCTTCTAAATCACTTTCCTGGACAGCTGCAATGAATGTTAACACTCCCAGGTGATACATGTCCCACTTCACTCCCGGATGAACTATAGGTTTCACACTACAATTACGTGTAGACGATAATGTGAATGAACGCAGGTCAAGCATCTGAAACTGACAAACATTGAAAAACGGTCACAGTATTTGCCAAACCCAAGGGGCAATATGTAACTATCCAAAATTCCTAGTTTAAGCAATGCGACGGCGTTTGTAAAATACTTTTTTGTTTGTTTTAGTACTGATTAGTGTTACCCGTTAACGCCAAACAAATAATTTGTTTCTGGCCAGCGCGCGCGTCAGTTCGAAGGGCACCGCTTGCGACTTATTTTTTTATTTTTACTGCCAAAGTGGTAAAAATGAACTAAAATCGGCCCCAAAATTCCACTATTTTTCTAGCATTTCTGGACTATCGAGGAAGTCGACTTGTAATCTCAGCTTTCACAATAATTCCGGTAAATTTTGCATAGCGCAGACTTACTAGTAGTGTGGACCTTTTTTTTTGAATAATAATATTCAGACTATAATTCACATAAACATTTATAATAATTAATTACAAGTACAACACATTGCCCTATTACAATAAGAACTGCATATTAAGAATCCGTAACATACATTTCATTTCCTGAGCATGTGCTCTCTGAAAGAATTCGTTTCGTGCTAACGCCGTACAAGAAAAAGTATCACTACGATTGCATATATGAATTTCATGAATAACTCAGCAAGCTACACAAATTGACTACATTTTTCCTCCGTAAACCTCTAATGACGTTCATTTTAAAGACTATTATAATTGGCTTTACTGGAATGTTGCCAAAATATATACGCCTTTCTATTTTTCGGCTGCATGTTAATCGAAATAATATATTGATTGCAATATTTATTGAATTGTAATATAATTTAATTTGTATTTCATTAAAAATCAATCATTGTGGGTGTTTTTTGGACGTTCTTACAGAAATAGCATTTAGAACACCTGAGACAATAAAGGTCAGACATCCGGGTACTTTTTTTCACACGATATTCAGTATATGATAACGACGATTCGAATAAATGTAGCAACAGTGTTCTGGTGCCCGCTACACATAATACAACACGTGACCTAACACGTGACATATCGGATCAGGCTAGACAATACGGTCATATATTTATTACCTCAGGTTCTGGTTCAGGAATAACGATTTTTGGCCCAGCGTACTCCGTAACGGGGTACGTCACTTCAGGATCGATGGTCTCGATCGCCGTTGGACTTGGTTTATCATCACCACCGTTGTTGCACTGGGTAGGGCTAGCCGAGCTACACCCCGAACTACTGCTGACGCTTGAATCAGCTGAAGTCTTGTGTTCAGTATCCTGTCAAGAAAAAAGTTTAATATAAATATCTAGTTCACTTATAATTTTTGCGATTGAACGCATATTCGTCTACAACGAATCACAGTCCTTGAGGGACTGTGAACGAATAATGTTAAAGCGGGGGAGTCGTCACCTGCGCATGCGTCAGATGGCCATAGCGTGCCATTGTTTACAAACAAGCGCCTGCCCATGAGCCTTTGCGTTTTAGCGTGTGTTGTTATTGTCGCATGGAACTCAACTCCTCAACTCCCAGAGAGCGCCGCACACGACTGTTCTTGGTTCATCGCGCGGAATTCAGTTTCAACGCTCACACAAAGCTAAGGGCTCGACTATTTAAAATGTTCAGATAAGACACCGCGAAAAAAATGTACTGGTCACACTCTTCCAGCCATTCCCATGATTTCATATGGTTGATCCCTTAAACACATTTTTTGGCAGTTGGCGGGAATATAAACTTTTGAGAGGCATATTTTTAAACATAGAAATATACGTCATTGAAGAACGAGTTATACAATTTGTAGAAAACAAGTGCAAGTATTGTGTCGCTATCATAATGGTCACATAATTATCACGTGACATCATCGCCAGTACACCACACTTGCAAAGTTTTGCTGACTTGCGCAATTGCCTGACCGTATTTTGCTCTCTGAAGCCCCACACGTTGTATTGAGATGGAGTCACATTACAGTGACCCCTTCGCTATGCTGATCATAGATCAAGAATTCAGCGCAGCGGCTGTTGAACAGTAAATGTCACTGTCTCGAATACCACAACTGTCTTGCACTCGATCGATCACAAAACGCCTCAACGGAACCATAGATCAAATGCACTTAAAGTGAACGAGTCTCGGAATTACTGAGATTCGTGCCTAGTACTCATCTGCCTATTGTCGGCATTCCGTCTGCAATCTACGATAGGTTATTAACTCAGCAAGTCGATAACATGCTAACACCGAAAATAAAGCAATTCACGCGTGCATTTACGGAGAGTACAGTACACAGTTCCGGGATGTAATGTACTATAGCCATAGACATCATATATTATTATAGGCGGGTTTCGTGTAAATAAACACATAAAACTTGCAGTGTCGCATGGGACGGATCTCGCAATAAATAGGTACGTGATTACTATTACCACCGCCGCATTCCTCGTCACCTATCAACTAGTATTACCTGAACCTTGATAATAGCACTGCGTACAACATTACGTTCTAATAAAGCGACGCACCTCGTGTTTTTAAAAATCTGAGTATCGTCAAAAGAGAGAGTTGATCAACATAGTAGACATTGTATTAAAGCGGGGAAATCGTCATCTACACATGCGTCAGATGGCCATAGCGTGTTATTGTTTACAAACAAACGTCTACCCATGAACCTTTGCGTTCTTAGCGTGTATTGTTATCGTCGCTTGGGACTCAATTCCCGCGCGTGCGCAGGTGACGACCCTCCCGCTTCAAAGCAGTTCATAATGCCTTGCATAGCTCACTATATAATAGAACACGGTTACACGAACGACGGGTTGACTGTTCTGCATGCGATAATATCGCTAATTATATCTGACTCTAATAACAACATTATCCACAAAGTAACACTAGAAAATTAGAAAACGGCAGTTTGACAGCCGTGCATCAGATTTTGCATTCTACAGTGACATATCACTGCGATTAGGTGATGTCATATGCCACGTACTAATCATGAAATTGGTGAGTGCCATGGTGTGCAATCTTGAAAGTCTTATTTTGGCTTACCATCGATGTCACGGCGACGTCACACCGCACATCACCTCAGTAAACTGAAGCAGATTTGGTATCTTGAGTGATCAATGTTTTATAACCACGCAGCGACTGGGGGATAATGTGATCTATTTCATATTGAAGATAAACGAACCTTCGTCTAACGTAATCACACTTTCAAGTAAAAAATAACTTTCGGATCCTAGTAACAAATTCGCACCAATTACTAGTAATACAAATAACCCCCCTCCCACGCGGTTTGCGCTGGCGGAATCTTTGTATTTACGGGAATAGGTGATCTGATTTTACGGTTCAATTGTTCACTGTAGAGGTAACAACAGAACAGAAACAGAAATATTTTCTTCAAATGTTGCGTCATCTATCATATCTGACTGTCCCCGTAATGTGTTCACGGTTATCAGTTACATTATAAAATGGTTGTGCG